ATATATATATATATATATATATATATATATATATATATATATATATATATATATATATATATATATATATATATATATATATATATATATATTAGGGTGTTCCTTACTTTTTAAAGTTTTTATTTTCGAATGTATAAGTCTTAGTTTTATTCATTTGCTTCTAAAACACTCAAAAAAATTTTTGCCTTAATTGGAATACGATAACCTGTGCCGACTTGCATTGAATCATTTTCATACAAGTTGATAAATAGGTAATTATTATCCTGATAATTCAATACCAATTGATAGCAGTAAATAGATAAAAATTAACTACTTACAATAATTGTAAATAGATAGTTATTATCAATTTTGCAACATTGTAAAAACCGTTTTAAGCAAATCTGCTGATTTTCATATTATTACTGTTTATTATGAATTTTTATGATTTATTATCTTGCATTGATTACTCAACTTTATTTGAATTTTCATATGCACAATTTTCATCTTTTATTATTATTCAGAGGAATTTTTTTTATATCCTTCATTTAATGTCTACATTTATGCCGGTTACTTTATTAAGGTCTTTGTGCGACGATTTTTTCGCAACCACACATTGTTCTATCATTGTTATGATTCTAGGTTTCGCGGGTTTTTCATTTTCCTTCACTTTTGATTGGTTATCACATTTCGAATGAGGTATCTATGACAGCGTTAGAGTTTATTTAAGGCTATTGTTGTTTTGTTGATTAAAAAATTATTTTTTTTAATGAGGTATTCTGATTTCTGTTTATCTTTGGATTATTTATGCTATTAATACCTATCTGGTTTTAGATCTTAAATTGAATTTATTTATATTTTTATGTTTCGATTAGAATTTTAATTTATTGTGCTTTCATGTTTTCTTTCGGTGGTATGGTAAGTGATTTATATAGTTATTTTTATTTATTTTTTACAGTTTATCTACACTTTTCATATCATATTTTTAAAAAACATTAGTGTTTTACAAATTTTGGGTTGGTGGGGTTTTGGCTATTTGTAGTGAGTCCTTTTTTACTGCAGTATAGATAAGGCATAAGTCGCGGGGTAAAGCACAAGTGGCGATGACGTTTGTCTGACGGGATAAACTAGTTATAAGTGCTGATCCTCATCGAAACGCCTGTAATAATAGACGTGACTCTGAGGAGATGTTTATTACTTTATCACTACATAATTATGTTTACACATTAGCATTAATGTTCTTTTTCCATTCTAAGGCCTTACATTGCTATCCATATTTTTTTTATCAATTTTAGAAAACTCTAATTCAGTTATTCTCATGACTAACACATATTTTTTAATTTTTAAGAAATCGCAGTGAATTTTAAGAAATCGCAGTGAATTTTAAGAAATTGCAGTGAATTTTAAGAAATCGCAGTGAATTTTAAGAAATCGCAGTGAATTTTAAGAAATCGCAGTGAATTTTTAAGAAATCGCAGTGAATTTTAAGAAATCGCAGTGAATTTTAAGAAATCGCAGTGAATTTTAAGAAATCGCAGTGATTTTTAAGAAATCGCAGTGATTTTTAAGAAATCGCAGTGAATTTTAAGAAATCGCAGTGAATTTTAAGAAATCGCAGTGATTTTTAAGAAATCGCAGCGAATTTAGGAAACAATAAAAAAAAAGTCTCATGAATTATCAAATAATTAAAAAAAGCAGTACTTTTTTTTAACCTTCGCAAAATTAAATTGACTGTTAGTGAAAGCGAAAATCTTGTCATTCAAGAGTGTTTGATATTTTGGAAAAGAGCTAGAATCCCTTCCAGAGCTATACCTAACTGTGTAAAAAAACTTGTAGATCTTCACCAAGTTTGGAGAGAGTTGCAAAAAATTTCCAAAAAAAAACAAGATGTTTACAAGCACCATGAGGAGGACTATCAAAATAATTTAGATAATTTATTTAATATAGCACATGCTAATGCTTTGGAACAGATAAAAATACATAAACAAAGAGAACCAACGCATCCAGGGGTAGCATAGGGGGTATAATAGGGTGTATGTATTTCAAAATCAAAAAAAAGTACAATAGGGGGTATGCATTTCAAAATCTAAAAAAAAAAAAACTTTACTCATATAAGGGACGCCTTAATATATATATAATATATCAAGGTGTCCCTTATATAAGTGAAACTTTTTTGTATTTTTTTTAATTTTGAAATGCATACCCCTATTATACCCCCTATGCTACTCCTGGATGCCTTGGTATTATTATTATATATATATATATATATATATATATATATATATATATGAAGACCACACGGGTAAAACCACAGATGTCCACTTTTTGAAAATTTCAAGTTTTATATATTTTTATGATATTTTAGTATTAACCTATTTTAATTTAAAAATTCATAACAAAAAAACTATGTTTTAAGGTTCTATGGTCATTTAAAAAAAAGGGCAACTTTGAAACAACCACTGTTGTCCAATGTTTACCGCGTAAAAAACAAGTTATTTTTAACTAAACCAATGATAATAAAAGCGTAAGTCACATGACTAACTTTTCGGATGAAGTAAACAACATTACGTTCACAGAAAAACATTTTAAAAAACATTTTGATTTTTTAAAATGTTTTTCTGTGAACGTGAATCGAATTTTTTTTATTAAAAGAGGGGGAGGGGGCGGTGGCTTTATTATCCCATCACACACTTAGTACGTTGTAGTTGTAAATTACAATGTGTTACCATCTACCTTAAAAAAAAATAAGTGCTCTAAAAGGTTACAATCTAACGTAATTTACGAGTTGATGAGTTTACAACGGAAAAACAACAGATGTCCAAAACGAGTGTCTTGTTTTCAAAAGAACATTGTGAATAAATAATACTTGTATTTAGCACAAAAACTGCGTTTTTATATTGTATAAGGACTAAAATGTCAGAAAAATATACTTTTAATTAAATAAATTATTAATAAACAGATATCTAAAGTCACTAAACACTAAATTTCATTTTTCTCGAAATGAGAAAAATGTGACATCTGTGGTTTTACCCGTGTGGTCTTCATATATATATATATATATATATATATATATATATATATATATATATATATATATATATATATATATATATATATATACACACACACAAAATGCTTTTAAAATCAAAAAAAAGGCACAGTAAAAAATTGAGAACATTTTCTTTTCTAAAACATCAGAAACATCCACATAAAACATCCATATTTCCTAAAGACTTAATTTTATTTTTGAACGACAGGACAATTATTTCTTTACAACTAATATGTTAATAACAAGTTCATATATAGTTACTTTATTTGATAATTTACTTTTTTCAAATAAATACAAAAAACATACCAGAAAAAAAAAAAAAGTTTTTTAATTTTTAAATGTCTATTAAGATGGGCTAGAAGTTATTGAAACCTGTAAAATTATTTATTAAAAGACTTAATTAAATATTACCATTATCTTACAATTTTTTCTTAATTTAACAAGCAAAAATTTTATATGGAATCTTCACACATAAAAAATATTTTTTTCTTTAAAACACTCTACAAAAATAATACGCAATAAAACTTGTTAATCTAAAAAAGATTTTATTCTTTGTATTTTGCAATCATTTGTAAAAGAGAAGTAAAAACTAGAAATGTTATACACAAGCTCAAAAAACTGATTCGGAAAAAACGTCTACTTTTTGTTGTTTAACAACTTTTTAATTGATTTCTGTAGATTTTCTTGTTAACTCAACTGTCATTCATAATTATTTTATGAATTTTATGTTAGTTTGACAATTTCCCATAAAATGTTAGATAAAATTACTTATGACCAGTTTAGTCACACTTAAAGCCTTTTTAAATAATTTACCTAAAAGTAAATACATAGAAATGGGTTGAAAAGCAGTAAGCGAAGCAACAAAGTGGCAAATAATAGGTATGAAGCACAGCTCAATGATCAGTAATAGAGATATAGCTAGAAAATTAAAAATTTCAGAAAATTGCATTAGATATACTCTAAAGACATTTACAACAACAGGTGGCATCGAACCTCATGCAGGATCAGGAAGGTTAAAAAAACTACTGAACGCGAAAATCTCAAGTAAGAGCCAATCCAATGTTAAGATATCGTGAACTCACCGATGCATTCAACGCATTAAAAAGCCTAAAGCAAGAATTAGATACCATTTGGAGAAGAGTTTCAAACAAAATTTGCAACTATCTTGTAAAATTGATGTAAAAAAGATGTGCTGCTAGCAAAAAAGCTTGTGTATTTTAAATACCAACTTAGATGTTATTTTTGTTGCTATAATTTTTTACATATTGCAGTTTTTTATTGATATTTTGTTTGATGTTTTATATATTGCAGTTTTTTATTGATATTTTGTTTGATGTTTTATATATTGCAGTTTTTTATTGATATTTTGTTAGTATGTCATCCAATATGCAAGATTTTTCTTGCAAATTAAAGCAAATTTGTTTAATATCTTTTTTAGTTTTAATTTTATGGTAATTTAAATATGCTTTTAGCAACAAAATTTTATTATGCCTATTTTTTTTTAAAAGCACTGTATATGTATATATAAAAAGCCAATGCATCGGCCAAGACTGATGCATTGGCTTTAGCTTGGTCAATGGTCATTTGTTCCTTAGTCAATAGCCAATAAATTGATGCACCCAAAAATCAACTTAAGCTGGTGTTTAAATTAGTTATAAAAACATTCTTGTGTTAACAAAAATCTTACTATATATAGTATATCTTACATAAAAAATATCTTACTACCCAAATATTTGATATTCCTTAAACTTTTATGTCAACAATAATAGATACCTAACTATCAAACCCTTTAAATTATTTTTTTTCCAATTTAGTTTACATAAAATAAAAAACAATTATTATAAACTCATTTTTTTAAAAATTAGGCATTGTGCTACTTAAATGGCTTGCTACTTAAAAAAAGGACTTTTTTCAAGTAACAAAAAACAATTAACAATATTAAATTATACACTAATAAAAAAAACTATAAACTAACTTGATATATCAGAACTTTGAACAGTGGTTGTATGATGCAAATTGTAATAAGAATTCTAGATATGCACAAAATAATTTAATAACAAAAATTGTAAAAATATTTTCAACTACAAATAAATTAAATCTTATTTACCATTGATGGTGCTCCATCCCTTAATGCTACTAATGCAATAGCACTATCCAATGTTGTTGGAGGTTTCCACTGTTCTTTTTCATAACTGTTCCAATCAACATTATTAAAAGGTGATTTTGACATATCACTCATATGTTGATCAGGTGAAGATACAGTAGAATACTTTGGAGTACACGATTCATTATGTGAAACTGCTGCATTGCAAAGAGTTGATTCTGATGGTTTTATGTCAAGTTTGCAATGTAATGATTTTTTTAAAGAATTTTGGCTTGAAATCTTAACTGTTGAACTTTTATTTTCCATTAGAGAAACTGTTTTATTTTCTGATTTTGTAAATTTATATGTAGCTATTGCTTCTTCTGAAGAAAGATCTTTTAAGGGACATGCATTCATTATTGTCTGATTTCCAAGAGTAGAACCTATAACAGACTGACGATGCTGAAGAACTTGAGGGTTCTGTTGCAAATATGTTGAATGACTCTGGTGTTGCAGCATACAATCAGGCACTGATTGCTCAATAGGTTGCAACTGATATTCATGTTGTTTAATAACTCTTTCAGAGTGCTGTTGAATTTGATACTTCATCTGTAACTGCTCTTGCTGCTGTTTAACCAACAATTGCACTTGCTGTTGTAAAAGTTCTAAATAAGCAAGTGTTGCTTCTGTGCTTTGAGTGGGTTGAGAGCATTGTAATAAAGTAGCTAGGGTTAACAACTGTTGATCATTTATAACAGGTGTAATAATATTCTCTTGATTTTGAGTTTTCACATTACAATTCTGTGAAGTAGAAGAAGTAGGTTGTAAAGAATAGTTTGACTGTTGAAATGAAGAACTCGAGTCACAGATAAAATTAGATTGTTCCTGATTCTTTCCAGTATTACTATTGATAGTCAAATTATTATCAGATATACTAAAACTTGATTTAGGTTGAATATGAGTGGAGAGTTTTTGTAAATAAGATGACTGAGAAGGAATTATAGAAACTGGTTCATTCGATTCACTTAAACTTTTTTTTCTGCGTGGCTTTTTTTGGGGAAGTGAGACATTCTCAATTTGTGATGTTGTTCGCTTACTATGGATTACAGAAGACTCTGATGAAATTTTTAAATTAACTGGGGTTTTAGACAACATTACAGATTGTAAATGAGCAGTCAAGTTAGGCGCCTGAAGTTGAGGAGGCAAGTCTTGAAAAGAACCTTTTAGTGAATCATGCGTGCATGAATTTTTTAACAACATACCTTTATTGCCCAGAGGTTGAGGAAAATTATTTTTAGTATTATTAAAATGTTCATTTAAAGAATATCTTCCGTCTGTCTCTAATGTTTTTGAGTTGTGTATCGAAAAGTAGGAATTGCCAAACGATTGAGAAGACGAGTCATCATATGATACATTAGAACTTAGCATATCACCAGAATGAATAATATCAACCGGAGGTATGGTAGAACAGTCAGCTTAATATTTAATAATTATTTAAAAATTCAATTTAAACTTAACAATTATTATTTGATTGTGTCATTAATTTATGACATAATAAAATGACAGAACTAATAACATAATAAACAAAGTTGAGAATGTGATTACAAAATTCTTACAGAACAGGAAATCAAAATTTTCCATCAATTCATCAAAACAAGGGTTCAAATGATCAATAGTTGGCTGGATCATCACAGATGAATCTTGATATCAAACAAAAATCAAAAAAAAAAAATCAAAAAATAAAGACACTTTAATCACAAACTATTATCATAATGCTATATTAGCAATCAAAACCATTATAATTAAAATAATTAAATTGAAAATTTTTTTAAAATTAAAAATAACAAAATAATAGAAATATGTTATTGATAAAATATGTTTGTACCTTTATAAAATGATAAGAAAGAATCTTCAAAAGGTTTAAGTTTATCTGTACCCACACTAGAGAAAAGAGTGTCCGAAAGAGCATACATTGCTGAACCTAACAATTCAATTTTAAATTTTCATTTGAAATTAACTATTAAATAAAAAAATATAAAACAAAAATATATAAAATATGAAACAAAAATATATAAAAATATACAACAAAAATATATAAAATATACATAAAAATATATATGAATAAACAACAAAAATATATAAAAAATATGCAAACATACTTAAATGTTTTAAACAAAAAAAAACTTCAAATAATATCTTTTAATTAAAAATTTTTAAATGTGACTTTATAACTCTTTTAATGACAACATTAAGTATACATTATTACATTATTACATTATTATATACATGAAAACATTAAGTATACATTATTACATTATTACATACATGAAAACATAAAGTAAAAAAAACATGAACATTCTGCAATTGCGTTGAGAAAATATGAGCATTCTGCCATTGAGCAGAGAAAATATGAACCTTTTGCTGTTTAGCAAAGAAAAAATATTAAATATCAGTATATCAAAAATCATTATATCAAAGTGTGTTCTTAATATTGGTAGTTTTCAGTTAAAAAAAGTTCTTTGGTTGAATACAGAAAAATCACAAAAAATGTATATATATCTAAATAAATAGTAGTAGAAAATAATGGAAAAGACATCAAGGCAAATAATGGAAGAGACATCAAGGCAAATAATGGAAAAGACAACAAGGGCAATAGTAAGATGTGTCTAAGCTATTTTTGTCAATTTGATAAAGCGCAATTAAATGTTTGAAACCAATTAACAAAAAAATCACATATAAAATTTTTATTTTACATGTGATTTTTTGTTAATTAAATACAAACATTAATCTGGTTCCATTAATTATCTGGTTTCATTAATTATCTGGTTCCATTAATTATCTGGTTCCATTAATTATCTGGTTACATTAATTATCTGGTTACATAGAGTCACATACAAACAAAGGGAGTACATCCTAAAAACTGTGATTTTACCTTAACTGAGTATATTTTGAATCACCTGATAAGAATATTTGTATATTGCATAGGTATTGGATATATAGATCTTATATTTAAACTCTCAATTTATATCAGCATTATCAGTAAACTATGTGATACTTTAATTTGTCCACAGAAACTAATTCAGAACCACCTGAGATAAAAAAAGGAAAGTTTTTTGACACAATTTTACAACGTTTGTTTTAAATTAAATGACATGTGCACAGTTTTCTTTGTATTAAATGACAAACTAATGACAGTAGTTTCAACATTTAATGCAGTTAAACTAGTGCAACTAGGATAATATCATAAGCAAATGCATAAAAATTTAAAATGTACCATCTATGTTAAATCCAATATGCAGATTCATAATATTGATTCAGTTTTTGTATTTAAAATCTGAACAAGAATGTTGAAAGAATTCTACCTTGCTATACACTATTGTGATTGTATTGCCATATGATGCACAATTTAATTTTTATAAATAAAATGCTAACTTATCTGTTAAATTGTTAAGCCTGTTAACCATGTCTTTTTTGCTTCAAAACTATATTTACTGAAAAATATTAGCACACTTGCATAAGTTGTTAAATTATTAAGACACTTGCAAGAGTTTGCAAAATACCAGTGAGTTGTTATTACATGTTATCTAAAAGTTTGTAATGGAGTTGGCACTATATGTTGATTTAAATGTGTAGTGGAGTTGAAACTACATGTTATTTGAAGTGTGTGATGGAGTAGACACTACATGTTATTCGAAATGTGCAATGGAGTTGACACTACATGTTGTTTGAAATGTGTAATTGAGTTGATTCTACTATGTTATAAAAAATGTGTAATGGAGTTGAAAATAATGGTTATTTAAAGTGTGTAACAAAGTTGACACTATATGTTATTTAAAGTATAAAGTGAGCAGAAATATTGAAAATTATTTTAAAAATAAGCTAAAATCAAAAAAAATTAAATATATTATTTTTAAGTTATTTTGCTGAATTTTGCTTAGTTATTTTTTCAAAGAACATTTTTTGAAATATTTATTTACTTCAGCTTATTGTAAAACTTTGTGATTAAATTTATTTTTTTAGTTGCTTTACCTAATCTAATTTTTTGTAATTAATATTTAAGCTTATTGAATGAAAAAAATTTAACTGTTTTAATTTAAAAGCTATTTAAGACAAATAAATACTAACCATTTAATGTCGAAGGATCTTCAATATCAAGTACATCACTGACTTTTGAATTGTCATTACTAAAGTATATATATATATATATATATATATATATATATATATATATATATATATATATATATATATATATATATATATATAAATATATATATATATATATATATATATATATATATATATATATATATATATATATATATATATATATATATATATATATATATATATATATATATATATATATATATATATATACATATATACACATAAATATATACACATAACACATAGCCAAAACAAGTCCCAGTTTAATGAACTGGATTTTAGCCATTCTATCTAATGTAAATCATTTTTAACAAATCCTAGAAAAACTAGTTTTCAGGTACAAAAAATATTTAAATGTTATATAACATATAATAGGCTTTTCTGTTTGAGCTAATTCATGAGCTAATTTATGCAATTAATTTACAGATAAACGTTTATCAGCACATAGCCACAAATCTTTCATTTAAATTCCAACTGTGTTTTTTGTGTTTTTAAAGTGCCTTCTGCACATATTTCATGAATCAGCTTTCCATATTGTAATGATATCATTGGAGCTAAATTTTTCTCAATATATTTTTGAATAAAAACAGGCACAATATTAGGCTTTTAAAAAATTTTTAAAGTCTAATACTGTCGATCTTATTATCTCCATTATCACAAGTATCATTGTATTGTTTCCTCCATTATTTGACTAACCAACCTTTGTTGGACTCTTTAGATATTTTTTTTTACTTGTTATTTATTATATATATGAATATATATATATATATATATATATATATATATATATATATATATATATATATATATGTATATATATATATATATATATATATATATATATATGTATATATATATATATATATATATATATATATATATATATATATATATATATATATATATATATATATATATATATATATATATATATATATATATATATATATATATATATATATATATATATATATATATATATATATATATATATATATATATACACACACACATACATATGTGTATATATATACATATGAAACTTGAAGTCCCATATTTATGTGTATATATATATATATATATGAATATATATATATATATATATATATATATGTATATATATATATATATATATATATATATATATATGTATATACATATATATATGTATATATATATATATATATATATATATATATATATATATATATATATATATATGACTAGATCGCCTTAAAGTCGCCAAATCGTGTAAAAAATTTCCACGGAAAGTCGACTTGAGTGGAAAGTCGACAAAATTGAGTCGACCTAACGTTTTTCATCTTAGTTTCATCAAATTCAGTCTTACCTATAAGTTTTTTTTTTCTATTTCAATGAAATATAGTAGTTTTTGATTAAAAATACAAATTTGTTTTTTTTTAACTGCCGTCGATGAGTATTTTTTTAAATATCTCGTTTTAAGCTTATATATGTAAACAAATTCGACGGCACTTAATATCTTGAAAATTATGAAGTATAACTGTATATATCATGCTGTTATGGAGTTAAAAATGTTTTCTCTGTCACTCAGTTAAAGTTTTGAGAGTTTATTAACGGATATCATTGCAAATACAACATATATATGAAATATAGGAGATATACAGTTTTATTTTAAGTCATTTCCATTTTTCTCGTATTTCAAACGAATTTCCTTACCATGCGGAGTCGCTTTTCCCGGAAACTTGTTGTTTTTTATGAATGTTTTTGTTTTGATTTTTTTATTTTGAAAATTTTGTATGTTTATATTGTTTGTTTATATTGTAGCTGAACCTTTTTATTTTTTCACACTAACTTTAAGAATCTTATTTTAAAACTTTTTTCTATTTTTCGAAATATTTAAGTGCTTTTATGAAGGAAATATTATTGCTATATAGTAAACTAGACAACGTATTAGAAGTCTAATATACTACTAGTGTATTTGACTTCTAATATGCGTTCAGATTAGTACTGCTAGTATTACTAGCAGTATTAATCTTTATGGTACAGGTATTATAGTTTAGGCAGGAATAACTATAAAGAGTTTTTGACTGTTAACAGTCTTAAACTCTATAAAGTTGTTCCTGCCTAAACTATAACGCCTGTATCATACAGAATAATACTATCTATAACTAATGTCTAATAACTAATAATTACTAGTAATATACAAGTGTCTTATAATTAGTTATTAGACACATTAGTATAGTAATTAGATCTATATATTATAAGATAGTTATTATTACTTATTTAACAGTTGACAAGATAGTTTTGTTCGCCATATTGTAGTGGATAAAACACTCTTATATTTGTGATCTACAACGGTTTAGTTAGGAGAATGCATGACTACTGGTATAGAATAGAATACAAGATAGAAAACAAGACTAAATAGAAAGCAAGACTAACTAGGAAATAGGAAATAACGCATTCACCTTCCTTTATTAAATTAAGAAACTATGATTGTATCAAGTTAACTATATTTTATGGTAGGCAAGTTGGCATACCTGCAAGACTTACAAGTAAAGAACATAAAAATGCCTTGAACAATATATGATTAAATGAACAAAGAATAAAAAATGCATTATCTGAAAATCAATTAGAATGTAGAATGAAGATTAATTATCAGTCTGGAAGTGGGTTTAGTTGTTCCTCTCCTGTCTTAATTCCTAGAGATACAATTAAAGTAAAGTTGTTTGATTTGGCTGATATTAGTAGTCAGGTTGGAGTTTCAGCAAAAACGCTATTTATTCTAGAACACGATTTTTACAAAACTTCTGTTTTGAATAAAATATTCTAAAAATATAATAAGGCAACTTAATGTGATCTTGTACAAATAATTGCCATCGCCTTGCTACACTAATAGCTGATTATACGGTTTCGGATGCTAAAATGACTATCAAACTTCAGCAGCTTACTATCTTTTTTATAGGGAAAGTGTCTTGGAGCTTTTTATCAAAATTCCTGTATATATATAAAGATATTTTGATTTGTTTGAATAGTATTTAAAGTAGCCATTTTTATTTTTTGCAAGAAATATTGTTATGAGAAAAACAAAAGAACACAATAAAATTTACTAAAGTTTTTTTAACAAGATGTAAAGCAAGACTTTTAAAAGCAATTAAAGTTAAGAGTAGCACTGCAAGCAGTTTAAATGAATTAGGTATATATCTTATTTACTATTTAATTTATTTTTTTGGCATGTTTTTATATGTTATAAATAAAACAAATAAATTTAAAAAACAATTAAAGTTTTATTTGTATATCAAGTTATTTTTTATATGACTATTTTTAATTGATAATTAAATAACTTTTATCAATATTCTGTACTCAAGTTTAAAAAAAATACAAATGAAAACTTTTTCTACTGAATATGAAAGTAGTTCAAGCAAATTGTAGTTTCATTTTTAAACTAATGATTATCAAATAAATAAAATTGAAAAAAGTTCTGTCTCAGTCTCAAGTTTTATAGCAAAGTATACACCAGATAATCTGACTCTATTTATATATTACAACTTTTTTTTTTTTATTTTGAAGATTTTTTTTAAATGTTAATGATCACATTAGACTATGAAAAAAAAATTGTTATTTAAGGTTATATTACTTTAGGGATTAAATTGAAAGTTTTCTTCAATAGCAGCTAAAATGGTGGTGCAAAGTGGGCTGTGCCTTCAATACAAGGCACAGGGGGCGCGAAATAGTCAAGAGAACCATTGGGTATTTTTTTTAGTCATGTTTACGCTGTGGCACATGAAAAAGGCCACCTAAATAATGCAGCACCCGGCCCTGAAAAGTCCAACAAGATTCAACCAATAAAACTAACCCTAGATGATTTATTTATAAATAAAAAAGTTTTTTTAATAACTGTTTTATGCTTTGCATAGTTTGAAAAGTTTAACACATTTGAAACAATTCTTCTTAGTAAGATAAACAAATAAAATAATTAAATCATTGAGTTACTTTAGAAATTCAATTAGTTAGATAGAAATTAACTAAAAACGTTAAATTACTTTGTGAGGAGGAAGCGTAACTGCTTCACAATACCGCTGAAATGTTTAGCAAGTGGGATTTATAATTTTAATTAGTATCTAAAACAGAAAAACTAACTTTAAGTTTAAATATAACAAGTTTGTAAGAATGGCTGAAGCAAAAATAATTTAGTATAAATAAGTTAGTAAACCAATTTCTAAGAATTTAAAAACTTTTCTTTCTTGGGGGAAAGAACCAGTTATCAGGTACACTAAGGAAAATGGATTAGCGGTTAAAGTTTTTTTGGGGGGACGTGTTTTTCAGGCACCCCCCTTTAGTAAGTCTGTAAAAAACGAGTCACTTTTTACACATAACATTTAGTAAAAATTATACTCTAACCCTGAACCCTAAAATAAAATTTATTATATTGAATACCATATCAAACCAAACTCTATACCAAACCCGGACCCTAACCATAACTTTCAGGGTTAGGGTTTGGTTAGGGTATGGTTTTCAACAATACTCGCTTCGTGTAAGACTTTTTTACGGACTTACTAAAGGAGGGTGCATGAAATACACGCCCGCCTTTTTTTGTATTAACTTTGATGATTATTAATAACTTTATTGAAAACGCAGTTATTATTGGAAGTATTTTTGTTTACAAAATCAATCGCACAAATTGCTTTAAAAGATTACATTTGAATAAAATATACATGCATAAAATTACATACGTAAAAAATACATACATAAAAATACATTACATACATAAAAGTATATTACATACATAAAAATACATTACATACATAAAAATACATTAAATACATAAAAATACATTACTTACATAAAAAATACATCTCTTATATATAAAAAATAAGAATATACTAATAAAATCTATTATATATTTACAAAACTTTGACAAGTTAAAAAATATAAACTTAAAACATTTATTTTTGTAAACAAATGATGTTAGTTTAAAACATTTATAGCTTTGTAGATGTGGCTCCGAGAATGAGCCATAGAATTAAAAAAATGGTTTGTTTGATAGTATATTCTTAAAACAATTTAAGCTAGCTATTTTTTGAATACTCTAGAAATTTTCATTAGTATTTTTTGAACCAATAGAATTAGTTGTTCGTAGATTTGGCGGGATTTTTGTGTTCGCGAATATTCTTTCTTTATTTTTCCGCACAGAGCATCGAGTTTATGTATGTTTCCATGTATGTCCGTAAAACAAAATATTTTAAAATTTACAATAAAATATTGATTATTTTGCGGACAAACAAGGAAACATACATAAACTTAAATGTTCTCAAAACGACTAGAAAATCTGGCCGGTTTTTCGCAACTAAATATTATTTCCGTGGTCAGTTATAGAGTGCTATCACACCCGCTTCCTGACCAAGCCTGTTACATTAATATAACATTTTATAAAAAAACTAAAGAATGATTATAGAAATAAAAAAAAACACGCATAATATGAAGTTTTTAATTTAAATTTTGAATTAATTTTTGATTTTATCAAAATTAAACATTCTAACCTTATTTTTTTTTCTTTGTCATCAATTTCAAATATATCCTAAAAAAAATTACAATATTTAAAAACATTTAATGTATTATCTTTGAAAAGAAAACATTGTCAGATGTGAAGCATCAGGTAAAAGTAAGAATGTAAAAACAGAGAGGGAGAGCTATCTTTAAGAAACAGAAAATGAGGAGTTGAGTCAACCAAGGAGGAGATGTAAGTGAATAATAAGTTAGTCATACTAAATAACCATGCCATACTAAATAACATGCCATGCCATACTAAATAATAAGCCATGCCATACTAAATAACCATGCCATACTAAATATCAAGCCATGGTGAATGAAATTGCTTAAGACATGACATGGTGACATTGCTTAAGACATGACATGGCTAGCATTAAACATCAACTTAATTGTTTTAGATTACCTCGTCTGAGTCTTCCAAATCTTCTTTTTTTGTTGTACAATTCTTTAGAAGCTTAAAAGTAATAAAAAATAATTTATTAAAACTATATACAAAAATTTGAATGATACTCTTTGAATACTGTATTAAAAAAAAAATGGTTTTAGAACAAAGAAAAGTTTTCTAACAAAATACAATAGTGAAACCTAGGAGAAACTTGTTACAGATTTAAAAAAATCTGGCTCTAACAACTGAACTTGAAAATATCCAAGATGGTCATATTTTGAACAAAAAAATTTACAGAATCTAACCTGATAAAGTTCAAAATAATCTATTTAAAAAAAAAGTAAATGATTACAAGAGTGATTGACAGCTAAAGAAATTGTAAATACAAAAATAGAATTAATAAACCATCAAAAATAAATGCATTAATATGACCAACACAACAACGCAAAAAATCTGGAAACAATCAAAATGCATCAAAAACAAAACTGGAAAAAGAAAACAAGTGGTAAAAATACTAAACAACTAAAGATGTACAAAAAATGCAATAATAAATTACATGTACCAAGAAACTGGCCAATGGTCAAATATTACACAAATGTAATAAATATTTCCATTTCAAAAAATATACACAAAAACTAGGCAGTTGATTTCCAAGTTAAATCTGTATCATCAAGTAAATCAAATTGTAAAAATTAATCTTTAAAATCATAAACAAAATGGTGCACAAAAAATCAACACTGGTGCTGAAGCTGATGTTATGCCAAAAAAAAATAAACAACTAATATTACATAATGATCTCATAAACAAAAACATCAAACTAAGTAGTTATGATCTCATTCATAAAAACATTAAATTAAATTGTTATGATCTCATTTATACAATTATCAAAATAAGTAGTTATAGTGGTAACTTTTATTCCAGTACTAAATGACAAAAAGAATGTTACTAAAAAATTTTAAAAAGTAAATAACAAAAAGTCAACTTGTTCTACAAACATCTTTTAAAAACTACTAATTATACTTCTTGTAAGGTATTACTAAATACTTTTAATGTATAAACTAAATGCTTTTTATGTATAAACTTCTTGCAAGGTATTACTAAATACTTTTAATGTATAAACTTCTTGCAAGGTATTACTAAAAACTTTTAATGTATAAACTAAATACTTTTAATGTATATACTTCTTGCAAGTTATTACTAAATACTTTTAATGTATAAACTAAATGCTTTTTATGTATAAACTTCTTGCAAGGTATTACTAAATACTTTTAATATATAAACTTCTTGCAAGGTATTACTAAATTCTTTTAATGTATAAACTTCTTGCAAGGTATTACTAAATACTTTTAATGTATAAACTTCTTGCAAGGTATTACTAAATACTTTTAATGTATAAACTTCTTGCAAGGTATTACTAAATACTTTTAATGTATAAACTTCTTGCAAGGTATTACTAAATACTTTTAATGTATATACTTCTTGCAAGGTATTACTAAATACTTTTAATGTATAAACTTCTTGCAAGGTATTACAAAATACTTTTAATGTATATACTTCTTGCAAGGTATTACTAAATACTTTTAATGTATATACTTCTTGCAAGGTATTACTAAATACTTTTAATGTATAAACTTCTTGCAAGGTATTACTAAATACTTTTAATGTATAAACTTCTTGCAAGGTATTACTAAATACTTTTAATGTATATACTTCTTGCAAGGTATTACTAAATACTTTTAATGTATAAACTTCTTGCAAGGTATTACAAAATACTTTTAATGTATATACTTCTTGCAAGGTATTACTAAATACTTTTAATGTATATACTTCTTGCAAGGTATTACTAAATACTTTTAATGTATAAACTTCTTGCAAGGTACTACTAAATACTTTTAATATATAAACTTCTTGCAAGGTATTACTTAATACTTTTAATGTAAAAATTTCTTGCAAGGTATTAATAAATACTTTTAATGTATAAGCTTCTAAATAAAAACTGTAAAAAATAATGTAAAAGAAGTTATATGCTCTCGACAAAAAGGAAAAACCTAAACAAATTAAAATAGGTCAAAAAAAACTAAGGAAAAGAGCTAAAAGAATAAAAAATAATACTAAAAATGTATTTACTTAATAGGTTAGGGCTATTTGGACCTGAACATAGAATTGAAGAAAGTTATAAAAAACAAACATTATCAATTATCTACTATTGGCAGATTCAACTAGAAAAAGATAGCACAATGTTAACAACAATGAATACCCCATTTAAAAGATTCAGGCATATATGTTTAGCTTATGATATACATTCATCCAGAAAGTGTTTCATAAAAGAAGCAGTCAAGGTTTCAATGATTTTCATCTTCTGTGGAAACTGATATTGATAACAGACCAATCTGCAGCACAAAAAGGTAAAAAATCTTATAAATACTTAGTTAAAAATACTGAAAAATTACCATAAATTGAAAAATGCAGATTTCAAACAAAAAAATCAAAGACACAAACTATCAACATGTGGACAATTAATCAAAAACTAAAAGCTGTCAACAAAATTCTAAAACCTGAAGATAAAAAATTCAAAATAAATAACTATTTTTGCATCAAAGTAACATCCAGGAGGAAATATTTGGCGCAAAACATTTTCATCAAATTAAAATGAAATAAAAGTGGAATAAAAATTACAGTGATCACAAACTCTTAGTTTTTTTTTTTTTTTTTTTTTTTTTTTTTTTTTTTTTTTAACATTTTCACTTCCAACAAGGCTGCAAGCAACCACTATAAGAGTTGGAAGTTACTGGAAGAGAAAAGACTAAATCTGTAGAGCAAGATAACGATTGACTGATGACTTAAAAGATTGCAAATTATATGAATCTGGAAAGCAAGATGAAGGAAGCGAGTTCCAAAGAACTGATGTTCAAGGAAAAAAACTAGAAGAATAAGAGTTTTTGAAGCACTTAGGAACAGTCACAGAAAAAGGATGAGACTTAATTGAATGGCGAGTAACACGAGAATGAATTTTAGTAGATGGCACAAGAGACGCTAGCTCTTTAGAGCAGTGCCCATTATAGTATTTGTAGAAAAGAGAAAGAGAAGCAACATTACGATGATGTGACAAAGGTTAGAGATTGGCTGCCAGAGCAGGTCCAACTATGTTTACAATTCGTTTTTGCACCTTGTCTAAAAGAGAAAGAGCATCATTAGAAGATCCGCCCCAGATGTGGCAACAGTATTCCATACAGGGACGGATTTAAGATTTATAGAGATAGAGAATAGAATCTGGAGTAAGAAAGTGTCGAGCTTGATAAAGAGATGCAACCTTAGCAGATGCTAATTTTGCAATGGATTTGATATACGGTTTAAAAGAAAGATCAGAAGTAAGAGTTAATCCTAGAAGATGAATGGTAGATGACTCATCTAGTACATTACCATTCATAAATATAGGAAGATCTAAATTATTACGATAACGATTGGCCGAATAAAATTGAGTTTTATCTGAATTAAAGTTCACCAGCCACTGTGAGCCCCATGCTGTAGCAGAAGTGAGATCCTTTTCAAGCTCAGATACCCCCTCCAAGCAATCAGAGAGTGTAGGCTTCTTATCATGACAAGAGTAAATGGTAGTGTCGTCAGCGAATAATGCCACCTTAGATGTGAGAATATCTGGAAGATCGTTAATGTAAATTAAAAAGAGTATAGGGCCAAGGATTGAACCTTGAGGAACCCCTGAAGTTACAGGATGTGAAGAAGAGTGTTGTCCATTGAGGACAACTTTTATACTACGATTGGAAAGAAAGGAATCAATAATCTTAAAGACGTTACCAGCTACACCATAAGAAGAAAGCTTATGGAGAAGACCAGCATGCCAAACTTTATCAAAAGCTTTAGAAATGTCAAGTGCGATAGCCTTAACCTCTCCACCTCTATCTAATGCACGGTAAAACCTATCGGTTATTACTGTTAGCACATCAGCTGTAGAACGAGAAGACCGAAATCCATATTGATGGTCAGAAAGTAAGTTATTTGATTCAAGATGAGAGATTAAGTGTTTGTTAATTAAAGATTCAAAAACCTTGCTTATGACAGGAAAAAGACTAATGGGACGGTAGTTAGATGAATCAGATCGCTCTCCGGAATTTTTGAAAATAGGGATAACAGATGCTGCTTTCCAGCATGATGGAAAACAAGACTCTGATAAGCACTTGTTAAATAGTTTAGAAAGTATGGATGAAAGCTCCGGAGAACACCTCTGCAAAACTACAACAGGAATGTTGTCAGGACCACAAGCTGTTGAAGAGTCTAAGCAGGAAATTACTTTAGATACAGAAGCTGAAGTGATGCGAATGTCAAGCAAGGGATCAACCTGTTTGACGGCTATGTCAGGTAAAACGCAACTAGTGTAATCAAGAGATGATATTGATGAAAAGTTCTTAGCAAACAATTCAGCTTTGTCTTTAGGTGAGGTGACAAAGTCTGAACCATACAAGAGAGAAGGAATAACAGATTTGCCCTTATTATTGATACTGTTAAAGATTCTCCAGAAGTCTCAAGAGCCTAATTTTTGTGATGAGATACGAGATTTAATGACCTGGGAATAGCGAGTTTTGGCGTCAGACAAAACCTTTTTACAATGGTTTCTGGCGATAGTGAACAGATGTCTGTTTTCTGGAGAATTGTTTTGCTGATAGATATGGAAGTAACGGTTTCGATTAGAAATTGCTGCAGCGCAATGTGAGGAAAACCAAGGAGAAGAGTGAGGCTTAACCTGGAATCGTTGAGAGGGAATAAAAGATTCCATGCCAGCCTGAATCCACGAAGTTATGTAAGAAGCACATTTGTCAGCAGGAAGACGAAAGATTTCTACCCAAGGGCCATCACGAAGAAAATCACGGAAAGAGTCCCAGTCAGCTTTAAGGTAGTTGTATGTGGTACGATGATAGGGGGATTCTGATGAAGTAGAAGAATTTGATAATAGTTTTAGAGAGATCAAACCGTGATCAGAAGTACCTAAGGGTGAATGTGGAGAAATTGAGCACTGACTAGGATCCAAAACAAGACATAAGTCGAGTAGAGAAGGT